TTTCCACTGGCGAGGTGAGTTTGCAGCCATTTCGGTGAAGTAAGATAACTCTTCCAATGGCAAGGCAGTTTGCAGTTATTTTAGTAATTTGCAGAAAAGATGGGAGAGAATGAGAGATATGAAATAAGTGTTAGGATTTGGGTTTAGACCCTTAATCAGTCTTTTATTGTTATGTATTTAACTCGGATTTTTACATTTTGACTATAGCGACGCAATCTTGGACATTTTGCTATATCACAGGCCACTACTTTACAGCCATTTGTCAGTACTGCATAGAATATTGAATAGTCTATGATAGTTTTTGCCAAATGCCCCAAAGTTCATGGTTGTTTTCTGAAATTTACCCTTATTATTTATTTATTTATTTATCTGTATGAAGATGTTCTCTTGATTTTAAAGCATGTGCGATGCCGTTCCTTGAAGAAAAGAATTCTTTAAAGATGTCTTTTAGTATGTTTCCTGCATTTACATTTGTTGTTCTGATATTGGTATCTCATATCTTGCTTATTTTTCCGTCTCGGAGACGATGATGATTTGCCCGCTTCATTAGGATTGGGGTTTTGTTTTCTCTTGATTTGGGGAAAACAACAACCTGAAAACCAGTGTAGAACAACATGCATTTACTCTTATTTTAACCACTGTTTCCATGAAACTCAAAATGTTTATGTGGTTAAGAATAGGCTAAATTTCAGAAAACTCCCCTTAACTTTGGATGATTATCTGGAAAACCCCCTCAACTTTAAGATTTGTTCATAAAACCAATCCCTTAACTATAACTATTTTTGTTGCTTCAAGTGTTCTACATTTCTCTGGTAATGGCGAGGCAGGCTAGGATGGTCTGTTATTTTGTAGGTCACGCATGCTTGCAGCCATACCCTCGTGTCTGATTAAAAGGGCTGATCTGAGTCTCCTTTATGTTTAATTTTCTTGCATGATTTTTTGCTGATGAGGAGAGGCAAAAAACAAAATATTTGTTCTCTTTGTACTTTCTCATATGGTGCCCAAGTTTTTAGAGATTCGTTATAGTTCTCTACAGAATAGATGAAACATTATGTTTTATTCTGAATATCATGTTTTCCTAATTTCTCCCTTTAAAAGTATGGTTAAGTAATTATGGTTTTCCCAACGAAAAATGATTGTGGGAACATGATTGGTTCTTAGGAAACTTTTCTCTTACATCCTACTGCGGCAAGGATTTGGGGTGTTGCAGATAACTCTCTCTCTCTGAACCTTTTCTCTTGCATCCTACTGCGGCAAGGCAATTGTGGATGGTTTGCTGACAGTGCAAGCAACCATTTGTTACTATTTCATGAATAATTTGTGTCAGTTTGGCGCAAAAGACTCCTAAGTTAATGGTGGTCATTTATTTCTTTATTTTATGATGATTTTTCTTGCTTTGAGTGATTTTATGATGATTTTCTTGCTTTGAATGATGCCTTTCTGCGGGTAGAAAACTCCTTTAGGATATGTTTAGCTTCTTTCCTTCTTTTAAGTTTAGTATTCTGATATTGGTCCCCCAAGTCTTGCTTATTTTTCTGTCTCCAAGACGATGATGATTCACCCTCTCAGTTGAGAAAGAAATCAGGGAAAGTATCAACCTGAGAATCGGTGTAGTACAACATGCCTTAATTCCTATTTTAACAATGTAGTTTCCACAAACTCAAAACGTTTTTGTAAACTACGTGGTTAAAACAAGAGAGCATATTTTTTTTGTTGAACTTCCCTTTTGTAAACCGTATTTTGGGGGTTTATCTGCAATTAACCCCTTTTTTTTACCACAGTTTCAACAAACTGGAACCGATTGTTGTTCCTTCGGACTTTATGCATTTCTCGTGTAATGGCGAGGTAGGCTTGGCTGCTCTGCTACTTGCAGACTATGTATGCTTGCTACCATACCTCATATCTGATTAGAAGGGCTGATCTGAGTCTTCTTTTTCCCCCTTTCTTTTCTTTTCTTTTCAACTTCTGAATTGTTGCTCATAAAGAGCCCCAAACTCTGTTCTTTATTTTTTCTTTTCTTTTTTTGGGTGTGCCTTTCAATGTGGTGCCCAAGTGTTAGTTGCATTGTATTTCTCTGCAGATAAGAGGTGACATTAGTGTTTTATTCTGCTAATTTGCTTTGCTTCCCTCCTTTTAAAGAATTAAGTAAATATGGTTTTCCCAATGAAATTTTTTGTTGGAACATGGTTGGTTCTTATGGAAACTTTGTTTTGCATATTTATTCATTTAACCTTTTGCTATGTGTATATTGCAATGGCTGGGCAGTCCTGGATGGTCTGCTACATTGCAGGCATCAATTGAAACCATTCATTGATATGGAGGATATACTTTCCTGGGGGCTCATAACAGTTTTGATGATTTTGGGGCTAATTTTAAAATTACTTGTGATTTTGAGGGGTATATATGGAAACAACCCTTTATTTGGTTGCACAAACTGCGTAACTTGACAAAGAACCAATAAAAAAAGCCCTTTATGCATTTGTTGCACAAACTGCATAATTCAACCAAAAAAAACGAGTTAAAAAAAATCTATGCTGTCCTCTATATTGATGGTTTTCCCAAGGTCTTCTCTCTTATTGCCTTCATCAAAGCGCAAGATGAGATAAAAGAAACATATAGAGGGTTTTCTATAGAAAACATTGCGTATTAGCCCCTCAAATCTTATTTCTCTTCTTCCTTCTGAGAGGTGACAATGATTTGGCCTCTTTGACGAGATATTTGTTTTGGTGTAAATCTTTTCAGGCTGTCACCTACTTTTTATCCCCAATGGCGAGGCAGTTTTCCAGCCATTTTGGTATTTTCTGTAGATTTTTAATGGTAAGTTTCACAACCCCTAAGTTTGGCCCATTTGGATATACCCCCACCAAAAAAAAACACCACCCATTTCTACCCAAAGGTTTGGAAATGTCCAAAGCTTTTGTAAATCTGAATCTCAAAGTACTTGCAGGATATTATTTGCATTCTGGAAGAGTGACTGATTTAATTTGTTCTCGAGTTTTATGTTTTGTGATGATAACATGATTTATTTTATTTATGTTGCTTTTGATTTCTGTAGAAATCTCACCCGCTGCCCCCGACCCCCCCTCCTCCCCGCGCAAAAACCCCCCTCAGATTTAAAAAAAAATATTAAGTATAGTTTTTTCCATGAAAATGGTTATTGTAAACATGATTGGCCCATGATAGACTTTCTTTGTTAAGTATTTGTTTGTTTAAGCTTGTTATTTGCATTATTACAATGGCGAGGCAAGCCTGGATGGTCTGCTAACCATTGCTTACAGGTTTCTTCTTTGTCCTTGTTTATCCTTGCCCTCTTTTTCTCACATGTTTCTTCTTTTGTCCCAACATTTTGACTCACAATGCGTAGCTGCTCCCAAAATTATACCTGTGATGCATTTAATGGTATCGAGGAAACCCCTGATGCCATTTATTTTTGGTTATACTGCGTAGGAAAAGAGAGAAGGGGATAAGAATTTTCCCTAAGCTATCATGTTTGGTAGGCTGGCATATTTGAGCCATTGTTTATTCTTTTTTCTAATTTATGCTTTCTTCGTGTTTAGATAATTTATCTTGTTTACCATCTCTTGTTTAAATCTTTCTGCTTTAGTATTTATTTTTTTGTAAAAGAATTTTGTTCCTCCAAGATATTTTGTCGATTTATTCTTACAGGCTGTGGAGTGGATGATTGTGATATATATTAACCTTTGGTTATGCTTGGTTATTATTGGCACAAATATTGTTTTTTGATAGCTTCAAATCCCCTTTCTGTTTCTGTTAATGAACTAGCATATTTTTTTGTTTTTTGTTTTTCCTTTTTCGTATGCCCTTCAATGTGTTAACATTTATAAGATTGCCTCTCAAATCATCACATCTACAAATCAACCCCAAAATCAACACATGGCAAATACTGTTGCAAGCATTGAGTAAGCGTGTATACTCTGGCTGAATGAAAAAAGAGAGGAGATACAAGACTTTGGTTGTGCCTGAGGATTCTAACTGCTGCTGCTATTATCAATTCTCCTTTCTAGGCTGAGGCAAAGAGGTTGGAGGTGGGAAAGGACATCCCCGTACAGGTTATAACTTTTTTTATAGCGATAAATTGAAATGCTCTCTAGTTTGTTGCCCTCTATTTTTTTCCCTTGATATTTAGGGGGGGTTATTGGTTGGGACAAATTGGGGTCAAGTGGGAAAATTGTTCTAATGGAACAATTTTATCCCTTTGGGATATTTTAAAATAGAATTTATCATATATTAAGAGTTAAAATATTCTAAATTTAGTATGTGAGTGTCTCATGAGAACTCTTGGGGAGAAACTCTCTCGTTTGCATAACTGAGGGTATTAAAGTGCAACTTTTAGAAATTTTATGGTATTTAAGTGCAGTCAAATACAACTGGGAGTCCATATGTGCAAAGTAGGTGAAACTATAGGGTATTTAAGTGCAATTAACCTTAAAACTATTTTGTGTATTATGATTTGAAGATGTCGCTGATTTTATATGTGGCTAAGGTAACTACTAGAAGAGTTATGCAATGAAGTTAACAAAAAGTGGCGGAATAAATGAGTGATGATTAGCTCAATGATTGCTCATTGACGTTATATACTGAGAAAATATGCTTTCCATAGTGTCACTAATGATGCGGTTAGGTACTTTTTCCCAAACATGAAAACTCTTGACTATAATTGTAAAATTTATATTTATTAATTATGTAGTGACACCATTGTCCCTCAATTCTAGATCCGCCACTGTCCAAGTTTCATTTTCTTATTTTTCATTTATTTATTATTTCAAACAATATGATAAGCTTATGATGATTTGCCGATAACAGAATGTGTTATGCTGTGTTACCGGAATTTATACTGGGTTAAGTGCACATACACCCCTGTACTGTAAGAAGCTAACCTCTTATATCCGTAAACTTTTTTATTAGCACATAGGTCAATTAATTGAAAGAAGTTGTATTTTTGCTGTAATTTGTACCTGATAACGGATTTACGTTCAATATCTATAGGAAAATAGAGAGTCTCTGCGACACAATAGAACATCAGAGGATCTCATCTCTCTGTAGCATGCACATGTCAAATTTACAGCCGTTTATTAGATTGCAAACCTGTAAATGAAGAGAGGCTTGGTTTTCTCCGGATATAAAAAAAGCTTCAAAAGGGCAAATCTGAGGTTTCCACCCAGTTTCCTACTCCTTTCTTTTCCTTGAGAAAATCCCTTTCATAATCTATACTGAAGTTATTTTATTGATATCTAAAAAATATACTTGCATACTTATCATTCATTTTAGAATTAATAGTTTTCAGGTTGGAGCTATATTTTAAATTCAGTTTTGAGTAACAATATAGAAAACCGTGGATGACTGCGTCCTAAAACCAGCTCCTTTTTTATAAACTTAAACAGGGTTAACAAGTTCAAATCGTGAGAGTTCAAATAAGAAGCTGCCAGCGAACTATTTGGAGTCGCAGATTCTTCGAAGCATCAGGAGAGATGACTCGCCGTGACCTTTCTCTGAGCCGTGACTCTTACATGGCGATATATATATTTGAGAAAGATCATTGGTTTTGCATGTTGAGAGGAACTCTCTCTCGATATTTATGGATGAAGTGTGCGTAAAGTGATGTACCATTTTCAGTGACAGCTCTATGGTTCTGGAACTAAAACATGCTCGTCCTGACTCTTCTAGTATATATATTTGTTATATGTTACACGGTGATATAGTATTAGAGTCTTGCGCTTGTCTATTGATTTTGTTATTTAGTGATTTATCTAAGTTATTTCAAAGCCTTTGTTTTCCCCCCTTGACGATGATCGTTCTTGCATTTTGCCTGTGTTACGTTTTAGCTGATTTTCATCTGATTGTCTTTTTTTTTTCAATAACGGTGCTCACGGTAGTTCAGATGAACATGTACTTTGATCAGATATCGGGTTTGCGTGTTTGAAGAATTCGTCTTTGTGATAATTTTTCGACACGCTCAAGTTTTTTGAGCATGCCTACGAAACATTGTTCTGAATTTTATCGCTTCTGGCCTTTAGTTTTTATCTGTGTTATTAGCTTTCATTTCCGTGAGATCAAATACTCCAGGTCTATGCATTTCCTAATTGGGTTCCAACATAGCCTGCAGGGGTGATTATTGCATAAAAGTTGCACAAAGGTATTTTTGCAAGAAAATGATATTCAAGTTCTTTTCTGCCATTACTGATTGTTTTGAGCTTGGGATTGGTTGTTTTTTTTTAATTGAATTAAACCACTGATGATCATGGGTTGTTGGAAAAACGTGTGGTCAGTGAATTTTTCATCGCTGTACTTTCCGTCTCTCTTTCACTGGTGGGCTGAGGTGGATTTGTATCTAAGTTTACAGTAGCAAATGAAATTTTTACGAAACTCTCATCGTCTCTTGTTATTAAGAGAGCTGATTTTATTCTTAAACCCACCTTTATTAATAATAGGCAGCATCGCTTGCGACTCCACCCAGTGACTCACACGTAGCGGTTTTGCATCTGCCAGCTCAGCACTTAATTAATGGACAAATTTTCAAAACCGTCCTATTTGCAAACTTATTCACCAAAAACTACCCCTTTTAATTTTATTTGCAAAAACCGACTTGGGGTTGAAACCAGGTCGGTTTTTGCGAAAAAAGTTTTCAAACTTCACGGGACTTGAAGTCCCGTCCCGTGAAGTTTAGCAGCTTAACAAGGCTGAAACCAACTTGGTTTTTGCGAATAAAGTTCCTAAACTTCATGAGACTTTAAAGTCCCGTGAAGTTTAGCAGTTATTTTGTTAAGCTGCTAAACTTCACTTGAAGTATCGCTATGTTTCAAAGTTCAAAATACTTCACGGGACACCCGTGAGCTTACGCACCCCAAAAATTTTATTTTCTTCTTCTTTCTTCTCATTTTTGCTCTACGCCAAAAATTTCTTTCTTTTTTCTTGGTGATGCAGCTAGCTTTGGTAGATTTCCCCCAACGTAATTCTTACCATCTACCTCAATCCCAATCTCTTGGCGCAGCAGATAAATTTCAAGATATTGACCTGTTGACAAAGGAGTCTCCGAAAGCCAGCCGGAGACGATGGTGGCATGCAACTTGGCCTCTGATTCGGGCAACGAAGCCGTGGCTTTCTTGCAGCAGTTGGGGAGTTCTCCACCCCCACTCACTTCGGCCACCTCCGCCCCACCTTTTCCTGCGCCACTTCCCTCCATGGATCCTATTCCTATCCTCAGTTTCTTCCAGTCCCTCCTTCAAAAGAAGCAACCAATCTTCACAGAATCACAAATCAGATTTGGCCGCCGCTCTCTCCTCCAAAAGAGCAAATTGGAATTTATTGATATTTTGTATATAGAGAAGTGTCATGTGTTTACTTTTCGCACAGGACCCCTAAAATCTCAGAACCGACCCTGCCTATTCCTATCCTCAGTTTCTTCCATTCTGCAATTAAAATTTCCCAAAAGCCTGAGCCTTGTGGTTGGGAATGTGAGGTTGCCCCATCAGCATCTTGAGCGTTTGAGAGGAGGTGGATGAGGGAGGAGATGAGGATGATGAGGGTGAAAGGGGAGGCTGCCATTAGAGAGAGCTCGGAGGTTGAAGACGATGAATGGAGTGAGGGGAGGTCACATGGGAGGGAGATGGGGAAGCCTGCTGAAGCTCTCGCAAATGGCAGGTTTGGTTTTGGAAAAGGGGAGGTCACATGGTTGAAGACGATGAATGGAGTGTTGGTTTGGTTTTAAATTAGTAAACGAACTTCACGGAACTCCAAGTCCCGTGAAGTTTAGCAGCTTAGGGGCTCTTTAGTTGTATGTTTTTACCATGTAAAAGGATGGAAATTGTAAAAAAGTGGGTCCTAATGTCAGCTTTCATCACTTTTAATTGTTTGTTTGTAGTTGTGAAAATAGTGTAAAGTGATTTCATATGCTGATGTGACTTGTAAAGTGATTTCATAAAAAAAAGATATGATTTTAGGAGAAAGCTAACATTGAAGTCAGTAAAAAATAATAAAAAATAATTCCTACCAATATGATCATTTGAGTATGGACCACTTTTTTACTTTTCAAACAAATAAATAAAGTTACATTTGCAAACCAAACAAGTAATTTATGATTCCAATGAAATAAAAAACAAACAAAGAAAAGTATAAAAGTGAAATTGATGAAGTGGACAACAACTTACCAAGTTGTGTCATAAATACACAACTTTACCAACAACAACCAAACAGCCCCTTAATAAAATGACTGTTAAACTTCACGGGACTTAGGGCCTGTTTGTTTCACCCTTTTATAGAATAGGATTAGTATTTGGGCTCTGACAGTGGCATTTTTGTAATTTTTGGATTCTTTGTGAATCCTATTCTGGAGTTTGGCTCAGCAAAAATTTTGGGATTACAATTTCCATAAAGTAGCTACAGTTGTCGTTTTTTATAGAAACCCAAATCCGAGCGTTGGGTTCGGATTTGGGCGAGATTTCTGACAGGGCGCTATGTCGTCGATTCCGATTCCTCATCTTCACGATTTCGATCCCTAGATCTGGAATCGCTGTTCCGCTCCCGCCTCATCGCCTTCTTCTTCGCGCCTCTGCTCCCGCGCTTCGCCTTCTTCAACTTGGGTTATAGCCTCTTTCTCGAAACCCTAGCTTTGTTTTCCACGAGCTTGTTGGTGGGTTTCTTGCCTTCGATTCTTGGTGATCCCTTCTGGTTGGGGTCTTCTTCAACTTGGGTTCAGACCTCTTTCTCGATCTTGTTCTGGTTGGAGTGTGGCTACGGTGTTTTCTTTGACTTCGGTGGGTTTTTTGCTTGAACGTCGGCATTTCCCTCCTCTGCAGTAAGGTATAAAAATTTTCCTCTCTTGCTTTGGCTTATTTCTCCAGTGATTTGAGGAATTAATTTTAATTTTGAAGCATATGAGAAATAGAGGCTGATAGCAATTTCAATGATTTAAGCGATTAATTTCATAATATTACAGCAAAACAATTCATGCGGGTATCTGTGTAGTGGATTTTTTGTAAATGTGCAAGAATTAGGTTGTTAGGTAGATTAATTTCATGCGGGTATCTGTGTAGAGATTAATTTCATAATATGTTTCAAATCAGTCTTTTAATAACTTAAATTGCTGTTTTTTTTTACTTTATTTCATTTGTTTGTGTGCGTGTAAATTATTAGTAATCTAACCATATAGTTTGTTTGTTTTGGGTCTATCTTGCTTGTTTAGAATTGTGTGAGATGGAATGCAACATTAGTTAAAATAATTTTCATTTCAATTAGATTTCTTGCTTTAAAAAATAATTTTCATTTCAATTAGATTTCTTGCTTTAAAAGAAATAAATATTTGTATCAATTATCTACTTAAATTTGACAAGAAATAAGTAGCCATCTTAAGCTATAACTGTATGATAATTTTAAAACGGTTGTAGATGGATATGGAAGATGAGGAAGAATTGAAGAGGATGTGTGCTAATACAGCTGTCTGCGCCGTGGTCACTTTGGTAACATGTATTTTGAGAATGCGTGCTAAGCGCAAGAGAATACCAAATTGTTCGCAGCAAGAAAGGGTCAGGAAAATATATTTTAGAGAGGCTCATTTCAGACGTGTACTGGAGGGCTATCAAGATAGCTGCCAATCTTATATTAGAATGAGACTGATGGCCTTTTTTAAACTTGTTGAAGTAATGAAAGCAAACGGTTTATTAAAAGATACGAGACACGTTCAAGTTGAAGAACAGCTTGATATGTTCCTGAGTATTATAGGGCACAAAACTAAAAATAGAATAATGAGAACTGAGTTCATAAGATCAGGGGAAACAGTTAGCAGGTATTTCAATAAAGTCTTGCAAGCAATGAATGGATTACGTGATCGGTACATGAAGCAAGCCCCAAAAGAAGTTCCCGAGGAGATTGCAAACAACTCAAATTATTTTCCGTACTTTAAGGTAAATTAAATACATACAACTTAATAATTTTCCAAATAAACTTTTTTTTATTTAACTATGTATAATTTATAATTTTTATAGGACTGCATTGGTTTGATAGATGGCACACACGTCGACGCGGTGTTACCTAGTGACCTAGTTGCACGGTTTAGAGGGCGAAAAGGGGTCACCCAAAACATCTTAGCAGCCTGCACCCCCAATAAACTATTTACTTATGTCTTGGCTGGCTGGGAGGGGGCAGCAAATGATTATAGGGTATTACAAGACGCCCTGTCTAGGCCACAGCCTTACGGTCTCCGAGTTTACGATGGTATTCATTCTCACTTGTGCACATTATGAATAATTTATTAACCGAATTATCCATTTCCCACTCAAGTGGACATTGTACTAGCGTGTACTGTGTTGCACAACTTTATTGCCTTGGAGGATCCGGATGATGATATTTTAAATGAAAATGTTGAAATTGATGAAGATACTGGGGAAGAGACAAATGAGGACGATTCAAATGTGATGGACTATACTCAAAGTAGGTCACAAAGAGAGGATCGAGATGTTAGAAATGAATGGAAGGAGTTACGAGATCAAATTGCTTGGGCGATGTGGGTGGATTATTGTGCAAAGTACAATGGTGGTAACACAATAGAGAGCGGTTTAACTTAGTGTGACATTTGTCCTATGGCTATGTAATAACTTGGTGAATTTTAACATACTGTTCGCATCGATATCGTTTATTGTTGCTATGTAATAACTTGGTGAATTTTAACATACTGTTCGCATCGATATCGTTTATTGTTTCTTTGCTTGTAACAAACCATTACTACTTTTATCACTTGCTATTTTGTTATGTTGTTTGAACTAG